AACAAGTGGGTTGTGGGTTCAAGTGTCTGCCGCAGAGACTGCTTTGAATGAGGTACTCCAGTCCACCCAGTTGTATAAGTGGGGTCCAGCACTGCTGGGGTATAACCCTGCGATAACCCAGGATCCCATCCTGGAAGGGATGAACCTGCTCTCAGTCTGCTTGCTGCTACAGCAAATGGGGTGGGCTCTTGCCCGATGAACCACTATGCTCTGGTATGGACCTTACTGCTTGAATTGTGTTTTTTATTTTTCATTTTCAAAAAGGAACTACAATGAGAACAACATTCTCCCGGTGCTGTTAATTTTACCCCTTCATGTTCTTACTCAAGGGATGCCTGAAGAAGATCATGGGTTTGAGGCAGTGATTATCGGGCTACATCAGCTTGTCCAAGACAACCCCACCAGCACCCTGGACCCAAGTGGTCCAGAGCTCCGCGTGAACAACAGACAGAAAGGAGACAGTGTTACCAGGGGGCAGAATGTGAAGGGTCCCAACACAGGACAAACAGTTTTATTAGAAAATTAAATCTATTTCTGCCACTGTCAAAGGTCAAGATCCAGGTCATCGTTTTACAAAACTAGTCAGGGAATGGCTGTGCTCGTTTAGAATAGTGGATAAAGAACAGGAAACCCCTATGCAGACATTTTCATAAACCCGATGCTCCTACAACATGTAAAAAGGTTACCACAATGGGCTAGCTTTAGATTAACGTTTACAAGAGAGTCTAGCCACTCTGTGAAGATAATGCAGTGAATCATTTAGATTTATATCAGTTTTCCCCAAGGCACAAGGCATTCAAATTCCTCATTCATCCTTCCATTTGCTTGTCAGCTTGACTCCTTTTTAACTATTAAACTCCCAGGCTCTCTCGCCTACGATCTGAACCCTAACGGTACCTTTTCTCTTTATCAAAACTCAAACACACATTGAAATCTACAATCTACATGTCAAGAAGTTCACTCCCCATAATTTTGTATCCTTTATTTCATTCTGTTGACGTATGATTTTGTACAACTGTTGTTGTTTTGCACATTACCTGTTACCTTTTGTTGCTTTGCACATTATCTGTTGTCTTTGTCTTTCTTTTCTTCTACAATTCTATAATTGTTTTTGTACTACTTACCATCTGAGCATTTCATTATACCACATACCTGTGTATGAATAGAATGACAAACTTGAACTTTTTCTAACCGTTTCCTTCAGTTTAGAGTCACAGGGGAGCCGGAGCCTATCCAGGAAAGCATCAGGCGCAAGGCAGGCTACACCCTGGACAGGACACCAGTTCTTCCACAGACACGCACACACTCACACCTTGGGCAAAATATTGTCCTTCCTAAAGCAAAACTATAGGATAAACCCACTCCCTAAAGGCATAGATGGATAAAATGGGGTCATATTAGTATGAGGTTATATTTCCATGCAGACTGATTAAAGGGACAGAACCCCAGTTTCTCACATTCTGCTTTCAGTTTTGTGATCTTCTGATGCCAAG